TCCACACAGGGGTGAAGCCGTACGAATGCAACGAGTGTGACAAAGCCTTCATCCATTCGTCAGCTCTCATCAAACATCAAAGAACTCACACGGGAGAGAAACCCTACAAGTGTCAGGAGTGTGGGAAAGCCTTCAGCCATTGCTCTTCCCTTACTAAACATCAGAGAGTTCACACCGGGGAAAAACCATATGAATGCAGCGAATGTGGGAAAACCTTTAGCCAGAGCACACATCTTGTTCAGCATCAGAGAATCCATACTGGAGAGAAACCCTACGAGTGTAATGAGTGTGGGAAAACCTTCAGCCGGAGCTCAAATTTTGCCAAACATCAAAGAATTCACATTGGAAAGAAGCCGTACAAATGTAATGAATGCGGAAAAGCCTTCATTCATTTGTCAGCTCTTATTCAACACCAGAGAACTCACACTGGAGAGAAACCCTACAGATGCAGTGAGTGTGGGAAAAGCTTTAAGTGCAGCTCATCCCTCATCAGACATCAGAGGATTCACACTGAAGGGTAGCCCTGAGAAGTTCCTGAATGTGAGAAAATGTAAGTTGGTCTTGTCTCTGTGTTCGATCCCTGAGTGTTTAGGTAGAAGACGTGTAGATGCAACTTGAGGACCAGTTCTGTGGTGTCTGTCTCTATTTGCGTAATACATAGTTTTGAGCCATGAACAGCCTGTGTCTTATATCCGTTGATTTGATCATTCTGAACTCTTCCAGCTAGAAATCTCAAATGTTGATCTCTCACCCAACCCCTGCAGCCCCCAACGTACCCTTCTGTGGAAATTCAGTAAATCCCTGGGACTGGGTAGCAGTACATCCTGTGAAACCCAGGGCCCCGTCTTGGCCACACCCATGCCTGCCACGGCATCTCACTTTGAAGGACATCACTCGGTCGGTTAGGCTCACACTCTTGTCATCGGGAAGACGCAGAGTTGTTCCCCTTTGGTCCCAAGTGGAGACCTAGACACAGGAAGAGTGTCCTTTCTTTTCCACGAGCTACAAAAACCAAAAGATTCAGCGGTTGGAATGTGCTTTGGATTCCCTCCCCAGCCCTGCAGGCTACTATCCCATTTGACGGACATAAAACGTGGGCTCTAATCATGTTCCCATGGTTTGTGCTGGTCGCAGACTTAGGTCCCTGTCGTCCCTCTGCCGTGTGCGGCTTCACTTTACACTTGCTTGGAAGTGACCCCGAGGCAGAGGATGGGCCGGAGTCTTAACTGTCATTTTTGATCAAGTCCCCCTTCTCTCACCTCTGGCATGGGGTGAATTTTCTACAATCAGTATTAGGGAGATTTCATGTCCTTAGCTTACTCTGTTCTCTGTAAACTCCGCTGTGCCACTTTGAGAAAAAGCCCCCGGGATGCTGGGAGTCTGAAAAGTTGACGGGTCTGGTGTGTTGTTATCCCTAGGGCCCCC